GTTAAAAGAGAGCCTTCTGCCTTGGAAATGAAATAGATTACAAGAGGCTCTTTTCCTTGTGAATCCAAACCAAACTGTGTCAGAGGCCCATGCCCAGTCGAAGGATGCAAGTCAAGCTTGTGTCGAAAGAGGCTAAAAGGCCAATCGAAGGATGCAAATCAAGCTTGTGTCAAAAGAGGCCAAAAGGCCAATCGAAGGATGAAAGTCAAGCTTGTGTCGAAAGAGGCCAAAAGGCCAATCGAAAGAGCTGAAACGAAAGGCACTTGTATTTCTCCAATTTTTGTCAAAATAATATTTTTATCTGTTTTCTCCCTTTTTGTCAGTTTCCTCTTAATTTTGGTACTGGAAAATCCCAATGCACTTGTTTAAGCTTGAATTTTGAGAATCCTTGTGAGAAAGGCCTTGAAGAATGAGAGGGAAAATTTTGGGGTACAACACCAATCCTCAATTTATAAAAGAATCTTTCTTCAACTTTCTAACCACAAGCGACTTGCATTTCAAGCAACCAATATATTCAATTGATCTTAGGAACCAGATAAGAGTCTCTTATAATGAATAGAAACTCGGTTGAGCATTGAAGGCGTTCTGAGATAAAACTCATGATACCAATCTTTTAAGAATTCTGACGGGAGAAACGTCACATACTTCAGTGATCAAACCCTTGCACAAAAGCCAAAGGATGAGAGAAAATTTTAATTCAAGATTCAACACTTGTAATTCTCAATTCTTTGATAACACAAAGAATCAAATGAGATGTCGTGAGGCTTTGAGAAGCCTTGGTAGCCTGAACACTCAAAATAATAAGGAAATGAGATACAACTCGAACTAATTGGCAATACAACCAAAATCCATAGTTTGTATAGAACTTGAGAAACAAAATAACCTTGATCTTATCACAGTGTATGGAATTCATATGATGAAACTATAAGCCACTAAAAAATAAAATGAAGAGGACAAATTTTAGAGTGCAACAATCATTATCACACTTTCTCTTTCTTAACTTACCATTTCCATCTTCTTCACTCTTACTCTCTCTCTCTCTCTCTCTCTCTCTCTCTCTCTCTCTCTCTCTCTCTCTCTCTCTCTCTCTCTCTCTCTCTCTCTCTCTCTCTCTCTCTCTCTCTCTATCTATCTATCTATCTATCTCTTTATCTCTCTCTCTCTCTCTCACTCTCTCTCTCTCTCTCTCTCTCTCTCTCTCTATATATATATATATATATATATATATATATATATATATATATATATATATATATATATATATATATATATATATATATATATATATATATATATATATATATATATATATATATATATATATATATATATATATATATATATATATATATATATATATATATATATATATATATATATATATATATATATATATATATATATATATATATATATATATATATATAACCTCCATTAAAAACCCACACATAAAGCTTCAAACTTTTACCTCTTACCCACCCAAAATCCCAAAATCCCTTCATAAAACCTTCATAATTCTCCATCCTTATAATTATTTCGAGTACTGTTTTCCAAACATCACAATTCAAAATTTTCATCTTCTCAATAAGCTGAAAATGCCCCTAAAAAGGAGTCTCAAAGGCAAACAAGCGGATAAATCTTCAAACACTCGCAAAAGAAGCACCTGAACGCCCAATCTGCATAATATTGTCTTTGCAGAAAGCTCTCTAGAGAAGAGGTATTTGGATCATGTTAAGAGAAAGATAACTCCAAGTAGGTATCTCTGTGAACAATCTATGAATGACTTAGGTTTAAAATTTTAAATTGTTAGGATGTTTCGTAGTATAGGGTTGTTGGAATTCATGTATTTGGAGGAGCCAACTTTTGAGCGCATCACTCTCAAGTTCCCAAGTACTCTTGAGTTTCATCTGGACAAAAAGTGGACCCATGAGATGAGATACTACTTTGGTACGCTTAAATTCTGCCTTTTTAATGAATGTCATGAATTATTTGTTGAAGATTTAGGTGGCATCCTCAGACTTCCCATATGGGCCCAGAGCTATTACGAAAGAGTTTCTTGTGAAACAATTCTGGTGGGCTATTATAGGTATGATGTGTTATAGTTCAACGTCAACAAAATCCTCGATAATCCAGAACCCTTGTTCTCGATACACCCAGAAGAGGCTTGATTATACTTTGTTTGGAAGGGGTGATATCACAGGGGTGGCCACTCAGAGGGAGTTATTATTCCTTTATGCGGTGACAAATCATGAGGTTGTTAATGTCGTTGCCTTTGTAGATAACTATCTGGACAGAGTGGCTTGTGCAACCAGTAGTGGTATTTCCATGGGGGGTATGATTGTCTGAATTGCCGAGCATCTCGAATATGAATCTTTGTTGCCTGATGATACTCCTGTTGCAGGTAAGCATAAAATTAACATGGAGTCACTGATCTATCAGGGTATGATTTCTAGTGCCCATAACACGTACTTGGTGATGATATGCAACAAGTGTATAATTAAACTCCCTAACCCAGATAGAATCAACATTGCTGATAGAAACAACTGGTTATATACAAGTGTCGTCCATAATGATGAGGATGACCAATTTGCTGATTTTGTTGCAGGTGGAACCACAAGAGAGGATGTAACTTCACAACAGCAGTTTGTACCACCACCCCCTCCCTATGTTCATCAAGGATCCAAATCATTCTATATGGATGAAGACCAGTGGGCTTGGGTCCAATCTGAGCTCGATGACCCGAGAGCCGAGAAATAAAGGCAAGGAACAGAGAAAACCCGACAAGAGGAAATGTTGGGTGAGATGCATGAAATGATGCAACAACTGATGTTGCAATTCCTTCCACCTCCTCAGTGAGGAAACTGTGAGTCACCCCTCTATGTTTTGTTCTATAACAATGAGGCCAATGTTTAGTTCAAGTGTGTGTGGGGGGGTTACTTTTTTTTTGTTAATTACTATTCTTTATTTTTATTAGTTGCTATTTGTTTCTATTAATCTGTTGTGGTAGTTGTGTCGTGTATTATAGGTTCTTGGTTATTGTCTGGATAAGTGATAAAGTTAGTAGTAATGGATGAAAATATTCACTCCACTTGCTTGCTTGCTGTGAAGTCCCCCCAAAAAGTTGATAATGCTGAAGAAGATGATTGGACACAAATTTCTCAATCCTGAATGACATAGGAACCCTGTGAATCCCGATCTGAATGGGAAGCTACACCATACTAGAGGTACTCTGGATTCTGTCAAGCTTTACCCAACATGGTGATACATAAAGGCAAAACACATATTCATCATGAGAGAGAATTCATGTATGTCTTTATCAATCAGAGTTTGCATAAGTTCTCTTGGAATATCACATCATGTTTACACACACTGAGGCACTTTGTTTCTTTTTACCCCTGAGCCTTTTAACACATCCATGTTATTATTATCCATTGTTAACCCCATTAGAGCCTTTATCCCTTTGCTTGTTTTTATCACCGCATAATTATAACCCATGGCCCTAACATTTCCACACCCTGCTCAGATAAGTGTTGTTGGACTTGAATCTGTGATAAGTTCTAAGTTTTGGGTAGAGGGACCTAAGATGAACCAGGTGGGTGCATAAAAGGAAAAAAAAAAAGAAATGAAAAATGGCATTAATAGAAAAAATTATGATTGCACAAAGAGAAAAGGCACTTACCTCAAGAAGACACTCAGTTGAAAAAACAATTTATACACTAAAAATTAAATACTTGAGTAGAAACTGAGGAGTCAAGATGAATAAGGTTGTTGCACCCCAAAATTTTTCCTCTTAATTATAACCCTAAGTGGCTCATATGCTTCATTATCATCCATACATGCATGACATTGATTCTTGTGATATGGGATCAAGTTCATTTGTGAATTAGGGTTTTCTCCTATCAAGAAGGAGATACAATGAAAAATCAATACAAGTTTGAGATGTCAGTCATCAAGATCATTCTCATCAAGACACAAGGTCTTCCATCTATTCAAATTGCTCAAATATCATTCGGAGATTAGAGTTTCATTGCCTAAAGATGGATCACAGAGTTCCATCTAATTGGTTCCCCCAAATTAGGGTTTTGTATTCATGGTTATTGTGCACTTCCTTTATCATCAAGCTACAAGGTTTTCCTCCACCAAGATGCACCAAGAAGTGGATTAGGGTTTATTTCACTATGTTTGTCAAGGGATTAGGTTTCCAACCATTGTGCTCAGAGTTTCAACAAGACGTGGTTGTGAATTCACATACGACTTCTTTGTGGTTCTTAGTTCAAGAAATTTATATCTGTATGCGTGTGATTAGTAGAGGAAACTTTAGGGTTGGTGCATATTATGGGCATCAATATACTTCATCCAATCACTTAAGTTATTTATGATACAAGTCATATCCTCGTACCTTATTCAAATGCTTCAGGCATAAACTTAGGGTCTTATAGAATTAGGGTTATATAAATCACAAATATTAAGGATTGCAAAGATTAGTTAATGACTTGAAAAAACACGTAGAGATGGGGATTCCCTACATTCGTTGAAAGTCAAGATATTGCAAGGGTTCCCTTAAGTTACCAATTTTAAGGGAGAAGCTTTGTATACTACATAGCACATAAACACTAAACCCAAAGAAGATGGGATTTTAAGTTGTAATTTAAAAGGGAGGTTACTTTGAACATTTGGACTTTATCATTGAATTTTCAAGATAACATGATCATTCAAAAGTTTACAAAATGGAAACGGCCAAGGCATTTATTACTCATCCGAGATTGCCATTGGATTATGCCAACAAGATCAAAGGAACTTTGAAGTTCAAAATTCAATCCTGAAATAAAGAGAACATTTTGGTTACTTAAGTTTGTCATTGAAATCTTCAAAATATTACAAGGTTCTCAAAGTCAGGCCATTACACATTACACTTCATACATAGAAAAATTACAAAAAGAATTTACAATGTCCTAAACCTAAAGTCTAACTTCAAGCTTCTATCTTGTGATGATTCCATCATGCTTCTTCACCTCCTCATCAATGAGACTCACATGCTAATCATCATGACCATGCTCTTGTATTCCTTTCAACTAAACATGGCCCCTGCACAAAAACCAGTCCGGTTCGTCGAATCAGTTAACAAAATCAATTGGAAAGATTAAAAAAAAGAATTGCAGCACTGCATAATAGAAAGGAAAAGAAAATTCAGATTAAAAGTTCATTTGAAATTCCAGCTCAACAATATAAAATCGAAATATGCCATGTACATTTTTGTTTAAATCATATCCATCTATTCCCTAGTAGAAAATCAGATTCAACAGCCAATATTGCTTCCAGCTCTAACTGATTTTTCTAATCAACGGGGAGGATTCAACATTCCACAAAAACTATTCAATCTCACAAATTCAACATTCCACAAAAACGATATTCCACAAAAACTATTCAATCTCACAAATTCAACATTCCACAAAAACGATATTCCACAAAAACTATTCAATCTCACGAATTCAATATTCCACAAAAACTATTCAATCTCACAAATTCAACATTTCACAAATTCAATATTCCATAAAAACTATTCAATCTCACAAATTCTACAGAAAGATTAACAAAGAAAGAGAGATTCATTGATACCAAGAAAAACTCACAATATCTTCAACAAAACTTAATCTCTCTTTGAAATCGGAGTTCTCTCACCATCTGTATTCATCAACCACATCAATCTTCTTGATTCTCTTCAACAAACCTTTAATCTTCAAAGCACATCATCATCCTCACCATCGCAATTTCGAATCTGCAACAACAACAGAAACGCGTTGTATCCTTTCATCACTTAAGTCGTAAGAACTTCAAAAACATCGTATCATGTTCTGTAACTATTTTAAAACGCAAACGTTGAATCAAAGAGGCGAAAAGAGATCGCGTGGAGAAGAAGTGGGATCGAAGACGAAGACAGTACTTGAGTCTTACTTTTGGGTTTCTTGCCATTCTCGTCGTTGAAACGACACCAGACCACCTCCAATCGAAGTTTAATGGAGACACATACGACGAAGTGAATGCTGAGATGGAGTGGGAAAATGACGGACGTATTCGTGAGCCACGTTGTTGAGATAGCGGAACGACACGAGTTCGGTGCGAATCAGAGAAAGCTATTGAGGCGATTTGAAGAATAGAAACAGAGGCAAAAATGTCGTGGTTGAGACGGCAACAACGAATTATCGGAGAAGGGAAGTTTGATCTGCCATGGTTTGCCGTCGAGAGAGAAGAGAACTCAAAGTTCTCGTGCGAAGTCTAAACGTCTCAATTTTCTAAAACCCTGTCCTTTTTTTTATTATTATTTGTATTTGTTCAATTTCAATAATTATTAAAATTGCCTAAATAATGGAATAATGTGGTGGACTGTTGCGCCATTCTCTTGGCACGTGGCCATTGTTTTGAAGCTTGAAAGGATTGGACCAATAAAGGCCTTCTGGGCTCATTCTGTGAGGGGCCTATGCGCCTGATTAGCTGCTCCATACTTCTGGTCCAGATTATACACCTTCTATTTAGAGTTTTCAAACTCTTTCCTTATTAATTTTTCTTTGCATAATTTTTGTTGATAAAGATACATAGAAAATAGGACTAATTGCTTTGGGATTTTATCAATTAGTTAGAATTTTTACTATTAACTATTGTGCTAATTTTTGGATTTTTTTTAGGTATCTTGATGCCACTTGTGTATGATAATGGTGCTTGATCCTTTAAGCTTGTTGGCATGATTGTGGGAGAATTTTGTTAAAGAGTTTCAAGAAGTTTCAGAGTAAGCTAAGTGTGTAATCCTCATCGAGGAAATTCACAGGGGCTTTCGGTAGATTTTTGTCACTGCTTGCATGTTTTCGAAGAGGCGACAAACCTTCTTCATTAGGTATCACTTGAATCTCTTTTATCTCTCTTTCACGCAACATGCTAGGATTTTATCGATTGCTAGAATCATATAGCGTACTTGCACCTGAAGTCCTACCTCGAAGTAGGAAATGTTTGATTTGAAGTCTTACCTCGAAGTAGGCAATGTCCGATTATTTGAAGTCATACCTCGAAGTAGGAAATGTCTGATTAACTGAAGTCATACCTCAAAGTAGAAAATGTATGATTATTTGAAGTTCTACCTAGAAATAGGCAATGTCTGATTATTTGAAGTCCTACCTTGAAGTAGGCAATATTTGATTATTTGAAGTCCTACCTCGAAGTAGACAATGTTCGATTTGAAGTCCTACCTTGAAGTATGCAACCTTTGACTTGAAGTCTTACCTCAAAGTAGGCAATGTTTTTGTATGCACTTTTGCAACATTTTGGGGATTTTCCTCACATAAACTTGATAAATGTAGGCTTTATGTTTCATTGAATGTTCATGTGATTTGCATGCTTTGTGATTGATTCTTTATCAAGGAAGCTTTGTGTAGAGTTGTTTTATTGCTTGCATGGATTTGAAGAGGCTACAGACCTTCTCTGTCAGGTATCACCGGAGATCTGTTTACTCTCTCATTTAAGCATCATTTTAGATCATTCTTAACATGAGAAGTATGATAGAGATGCATGACCGGAAGTCCTCCATTGTAGGCTATGTTTTCTGAGTAGGTAGGACTTAATTTGGATGATGCTAATGTTGTGATACATGTTCACTTTATTTTTGATCCAGGTTCATTTCTATTTGACTCATGTTCATTACTTGTTGTGATGCTTGTTCACTTTTTACTTTGATTCATGTTCAATATTTGCTAGATGCTTGTCTATTGCCTCGATCCATGCCCAATAATGTTGATGCATGTTCATATTCACATCTTCCTGTTACTTGTTTAGGAATACTATTTGTGATGTCTTTATTCTCAACTCTTTTGCAAATAAGCGGGGAAATAGTAAGTGTCCCTCCGGTGGGATCCATTTTCTATTATCCCAACAAAATACACAACAAATTCAAACTTTCTTTTGCCGCTTGGGATTTTATTATGAAAACTTGTTCAAAAAGGGTTGTTACCCATAAAAACACAAACAATCCAAAAAAATTTAGAAGAACTACGGTGCTCTGATTCTTTATTGCACGCCGGGGATACGTAGGCACAGGGTTTTAAAACCGAGGCGATCGCAATAATAAAAACTTTCTTTTTGTTTGTTAACAATTCATTCATGCATTCCCTATAGCTTGTAAGCTTTAGATATAAACACACCCTTTGATTAGAACAACAAGAGTGGATACTATGGAGTACCAAGAACGTGAGGGGTGTTAATACCCCCCTGCGTAATCGACTTCCGTATCCTTCTCTTGGTCGCAAGACCTTGATTTCTCCTTTCTCAAGTTTACTCAATGTTTTACTTTCCCTTCTTTGGGATAAATAAAATTTGATGGTGACTTCATTGTTTACTTTCCTAATTACTTCAAAGGTGTCTGAAGATTCCCAAAAATGATGTGCAAAATAAACACAGTGAAAAGAATGACAACACTGACTCTAAGCCCTAAAACCATTTATTTTCCCTTCTTTTTATATCCCACCTTAACCTAAGACCCGTTACAACCCAAAAAGACCTCAAAAAGTGTGTGTTGTGTGTATGTGAAATGAAATGAGAATATTTTCAAAGCTTATAAGTTTATATTGCATATTATGAAATTTTGAGTGCAAACACTTTAACCTCGAGAGGCTAGGTAAGAGTCTGTAATAAGCTGATAGGTGAAGTTGTACTTCTATGTGGAAGTGTGACGGAAAAATCAAATGTGGAAAGCATGAACTATAAAAGAAAGAGAAAAAGCGAGTTGCAAAAGATCTCAACAGTATTGTGGTAAGCATTGAATTTTCAATTAATTTTGGGGGTGACATGTTTCTTTTGTCTTGAACATTGCTTGAGGACAAACAACGAGCTAAGTTTGGGGTTGTGATCAGTCACCATTTGTACTATACCATCGGTCACTTATTCAGTAATAATCTAGGTAAATTATAAAGATTTGGTCATATTTTATTATCTTTTGAGTCAGTTTCTTGACAATTTGTTTGTTTACTCATTTTATTGGTTTTAAGCTTTATTCCAAGTTTTCTTCACTTTAAACTTTGGTTTGTCTCTTTAGTGATTTCAGGTCCAAGTTAAAGATCCAAAAAGAATTAGTGCAAAAAGTGGAAAAGTCTGGATTTTCGGAGAAGTTTATCATCACCTACAGGAGGCTCACTATAGCCACCGTAACACCTGCTAAGGGCCGTAGCAGGGTGGAAGTTCCAAGCCAGAACCAAAATGTCCGTAGTGCACTACGGGGGCCCGTAGCACATGCTAAGGGCCCTAGTGAAGGGTCTGGGACCAAGGAAGAAAAAGGCACAAGTGCAGAAGGAAGCTGCGATCGACTGTAGCATCTACTACGGGCCGTAGCGTATGATGACGCTGATTTCTTTTATTTTATGATTTTTTTAAAGTGTTGGCATGAGAGGGAATTTTGGGCATTGTCCAACCTATTTCACTGGATCACTTGGGTTTGAAGACTTTTTTCTATTTAAGAATAGCGTTTTCGATGAATAAGGGACATTTTGACGAAGCGAGAAAAGAAAACTTAGAAGAATATTAAAGAGCTCAAGACTTTCAATGAATGAATATCTATATGAACATAAAGGATTGAAGATCCAAAATCCTCAAATTACTTGTAATGTCTAAATTTTCTATTATGTATTCTTTGAATTTTATGAGTAGCTAAACCCCCCAATGCTAGGGGGTGTCCCTGATTTAGAATTGTAACGACTTTGATTTCCTAATTTCAATAATATGCATGTTTTTCATAATCGATTTAATGGTACAATGTTTCTAGTGCCTTCTCTATTGGACCAATAGGGATTGATCAATGATTAACGATTAGGGTGGACTGCCCTTGTTAATTCTTTTGTGCAATTAAGTTATAGTAGATATCACCTAGGACTAGGGATACCCTGTGCAACCAGTATATTCTTGATAACATAAATACTTGATTTCATCATAAATTTCTGGGGACTTAGAATTTAGGATGAATGATCAAAGGTTTTCCCACTAAGGATTTAAGAGAAAGTAAACTAAAGAACCGATAATTGATTAGTTGTAATATGTTATTAAAATAAGGAATCAAGGTTATTACATGAATAATCATACACTTTCCCTAACATGCTACTCCTATTTATCAAATTCAATCTTATTTCCTATTTACTTTTATGTGTAAGTATTCTACAATTACAAAAACAACCCCAAATATTAGTTTTTGTTTCATTGAGCGATAATTCAAACTCAATATTTATACGCAATTCTTGAGATCGACAGTCGAGGAATTTCCTCTTTATTACTGCATAGGCAAAATAATACACTTGATATTTTTTCGATCAATATCCTTAACCAACAAGGTGTCAAGTTGTTTCTCGTGTGCCATAGTCGTGTAGGATCCTTGAGTGGAACACCTAGCTCGGTCCCTGGTAGAGGCCGGACGTCAGGCTCTCGGAGCCACACACACACACACACACATACACACACACACACACACACACACACACACACATATATATATATATATATATATATATATATATATATATATATATATATATATATATATATATATATATATATATATATTTCGACCCTTGGTAGATGCCAGATAGCCAAGTTGGTAGCCCAACGTAACAGTTAAGAGGCAGTCTCAGGGTCGCTCAGATTTTACAAAATTGATGGTAGAGCCGTTATAGAACATGATTGGTGGCAATTATGGTGATGACAAATTTTACCTCAAACATTTAATCATGAGAGACGAATGGGTGGCACATTATAGCCTAGAGGGTTGAAACACATACTATATAAAGGACACCAAAGCAAATAGGAAGGAGTGGAAAAAAGGAGGACGAAATACACTGATAATAAGTACGTAACAAACACACTTCCATACATTTACGACCTCACCTGACCAATATCAGGGGGTTATCCAAAAGGTGTTTTTAGCAAGAACAACTTTTCCCAAGTAACAAAGTTCTTGTTCTTCTACACACACTTTATTTTATACAATAAACTTTTCACCAATCAATAAAAAGAATTCTCAAAAAGGAATAAAATTATCGAGAAAGAAATAAGAGTAAATTTTATGAAAAA